TTTTTTTTTTCTGTTTTTTAAAATTAAGCTTGTTTGCGCACAAATTTTTTCTTGAGTTTTTCACCTACCTTCAAAACACATTTCAATTCTAATCCAAATATCAAAAACAAAAACAAAATCAAATTTTTAAAATACTTTTTTAGTCTTTAAAATTTGGCTTGAGTTTTTAAAAAGTACGTAATAAAGCAAGAAAATTAAATGTGAAAGTAGTGTTTTATAACCTTAGTTTTAAAAAATACAAACTGGTTACCGAATGGACCTAAACTTTTGTGTTCCCAGATTTTTTACACCATATTAATGATGACTTTCAACAAACAACGTAATTGTAGCAACTGAGAAACTACCCAACCTCTCCCCCGAAAGGCAAAGTCTTTGCTGTCGCAGGCAGAGCAACTCCATCCTAGACACCAAAAGATGAACAATTACAACAAGATCGCTGAATACTTAATACTTCAGGAAACACATCTACATTTCCAAACACAGACTAAATATTGTCTCTTAAAATATGAAAAACCAGTTACTTTTAAAAGTAAAAAAGAAGGTTAGAAAATACTGAATTTACCTCGATGCAAATAATTGTTGTCACCTGTGCTCCCATGTTGACAACACATGCTGAAGATAGTCCATTACCAAAAACTGCAGCAAGCCCTTCCTGCGACATCCAAAATTACGAAAATTGTCCATTTAACGAGGTAACCGCTAACAAATAGAAAGAAAAATTAACCATGTGATGTACAGAATTGAAGGACAGGAAAATTTGAATCAAAACATTCAGTTGTAGATCTTATTAAAAGCTTGGGTTTATTAATTACATCCATTTGATTTAGTTATTTTGCAAATCGTTTTCTTATTTCTTAAAATGCTTTCAAATACTCCCATTTGCAAAATATAAAAACCATACCTTTCTATTAAACCTTAACCTTTATTTTTAACGAAATCGAATCAAGTAGCTTATACCAACAATAACGTAGAGCATTATCCTATTAGAAGGTTCAAACGGACATGTTAGATCCCCTCTTTTTTGTAACAAGCAACATCTTGTATCTTATATCAAGCGGTTCAAACGGACATGTTAGATCCCCTCTTTTTTGTAACAAGCAACATCTTGTATCTTATATCAAGCATCATGCAAGCACTGTTAGGTGATAACTACAGTCTTCTTCACTTCTTCATGATTAGAAAGTTTTTATGTCATTAGCTCCCCTCAGAAGGGTTTTGGTTTTTTCTTCCCCTTGCCCTTAGGCTGATTTTTAGTTCTAATAAATACCCAGGTTTCTTATTTAAAAAAAAAAACAGTATTTCCACTCTAGGTTCACTATTCACCAAAAATGTCGCAGTCAAAGGCTTGGAAGATTCATGAACTCTTGCATTTTTTTTTTTNGGAAAAAAAAAAAAAAAAAAACACATTGAAGAGTTACAAAAGAATCAACAGGCCAAAAGCAAGGGCCAAAGAAAAAAAAAAATCAAGCCTACAAAAACAACAGCCCCAAACGGAACCCAATAGAACCTAACAAAGAAAAGGGTTCTAGTCCAAAAGAATAAGACGCATAGAATAATTATAAAAGTCATCATAGATGCCCAAAGCACGACATTAAACCACGTTAAAGACCAATCCTCCAGTATAAACTACAAGCATAAACATTGTAGAACGCATACTAAATAGTTTAAATGTCCGCATATTTGATAAAAACCATGCACTCACCTGATGAACCACTGCTGAACCAAACCGCAAATCTTGCAGTACCATAGTCAACATATCCTTTATTTCTGTTAGCACCAAGTAAAATTAGTTTTCTTTTTAAGTAATTATACGTGGAAGTTTTATTAAAGAGTACTGTCAAAAAAGCAAACAAAAGAACCACAGAGAAAAGACACGCACACAAGCTCACGTGTTCAAAGTATCACAAAGTAACATGATAAGAAGTTGGATAACTTCAATAAAATCAAAAGTTCCCAAGAAAAATGACGAAAAAGAATTAAGCAGACTAGAGAAGTCACACTTAAAAATGTAAAATGTCAAAGTTTAACTATGTAAATCCAACAATTAGGGTTTAGGGTTTAGGGTTTAGGTCAGGAATCCAAGACCAGCAAGTGACATTCAACTCTAAAATAATTTGATATATCTGCTCCATTACTTGTGCTAGGAAAAAAAAAATACATGAAATATCTTGTAGAATATGGATTTCTTGCATAACAATTGATGCCTATTTTGTGAGTTTTATTCTTCGAGAAATCATTCAAATTTTGAAGAAAAAAAAATTAATTTCCACGGTTAAATAATTTAGTCTAGTATTGGAAAAGAATAAAATCAGAAATGAATATGATTATATACTTGAAATCTAAGAAAATTATGCCCACACACATGAAGAGGTATCATACACAAATCTATATATAACTATGAAAATGCTATAGTTTTCATAAATCAATATGGTGATAAATGCTGGTCTTGGGCAAATAATGTGAATCTTCTCCAGCTCCAAACATATTTCCCATACCTTAGGGACCATAAAGTTAATTGGACGCTTAAATTCTATTTTATTTCTCGCCATTTCAAACCTTTCAAAAGTTCTGTTATACATCCACAATTTTATAGGAAAAACTATTTTAGCCCTTCATGTTAATTTTATGTTAACCATTGATATACATCCACAATTTTATAGGAAAAACTATTTTAGCCCTTCATGTTAATTTTATGTTAACCATTGAATAGAAATCTGGATCCACTTTGGGAGGTGGCACCCAACCCACTCTGGTAATAAATGGCAAAGATTAAAAATATTTTATGCATCCTTGAGGTACTAAAATCAAACAANCCACGGTTAAATAATTTAGTCTAGTATTGGAAAAGAATAAAATCAGAAATGAATATGATTATATACTTGAAATCTAAGAAAATTATGCCCACACACATGAAGAGGTATCATACACAAATCTATATATAACTATGAAAATGCTATAGTTTTCATAAATCAATATGGTGATAAATGCTGGTCTTGGGCAAATAATGTGAATCTTCTCCAGCTCCAAACATATTTCCCATACCTTAGGGACCATAAAGTTAATTGGACGCTTAAATTCTATTTTATTTCTCGCCATTTCAAACCTTTCAAAAGTTCTGTTATACATCCACAATTTTATAGGAAAAACTATTTTAGCCCTTCATGTTAATTTTATGTTAACCATTGAATAGAAATCTGGATCCACTTTGGGAGGTGGCACCCAACCCACTCTGGTAATAAATGGCAAAGATTAAAAATATTTTATGCATCCTTGAGGTACTAAAATCAAACAAGAGAAACTTTAGGGACCATAAAATGACCTTAACTTGGGCAAAAGAGATTGAAGTTTGTTATAAGATTCATTTCACCTTTTTCCTTAAGAAAGTCCTCGCCCACCTCAAGGTCTAGACTTTGGACACATCAAGTGTTTTCCTTATTAAGCTCACCCAAAGATTTCTACTTGCAACTTCTAAGTACGTTTACTCAAAGACTGTGACCCTTAGCCAATGGGGCCACCCATTAGAGCTAAAAACTTATTTCACTTGTCTTCATAATTTCTTGATTATCCAAGCAAGATTCACAAAATGATAAAACAGAAAAATCGTAGAGGTGAAAAGGGGTAATTCTTAGAAGTACCGCGGTTGTCAAATGTTTCAGGGACGACCAGAATAGCAGAATACAAGTTTCTTTCACTAAGAGGGATATGTAGTTTTTCTATCAAAATCCAGTCCCAAATAGCATGCAAGTCCTCAAGTACCTGAAATATACCAGATAAAACTTCAAAATAAAGTGACGCACTGATATCATAATTACAGAAAATATCATAATTACCATTATCTTCCCCCCAATCCCTGAAAACTAAACTTTTATCCAAGTGTGGTGGAATAAGTAGAATCGAAGTACACTTATGGATGTACATGTTGATTCAACTTAACTTTCCAAGACAATTCTTAAAAAAAAAAAGTAGAATAGACCATGTAACTTTCACCATTCATAAAACACAAGTTTTGGAAAGGAAGCTTAGACTATAAAACATCAAAACAATGCATTATAAAGAAACTACTGGCAAGAGATGCCCACATGAGACGGTACCTGTTGCATAGAGTAATGTTGTGAGATATTAAAGTGACCTCTGCGAATAGGCCGGTGTAGACAATATGGCTCAATGGGTGATATTTTAAGAGCATCCTCACCGCAAATAAACTGTCTATATTTGATTACACTAGGACTAAACTCCTTGGAATCAGTCTCTACATGCTGGTCCAAAGACTGGCTCACATCCTTGGAGCTTGAACTTTCTGCAAAAACAAATTATGCAGGTAGCTGAAGAACATATGATGTGCTATCAAAATACAATACTGAATCAATGGTGGAGATGTCAAAAAGGAAGAATATCTTCATAAACCCAGAAAGAAAATTTTTAAAAGAAAAGCCAGATGCGTGCTACAAATCTGTCTTGCAATACATGTTAAAGATCTGATGACAATGACAAGCCAGATGCATGCTACAAGCCCAGAAAGAAAAGTTTCAGGTTCGTTGGCATTCCAAATAAATATTAAGAAGTGCATGACACATCATAAAACCTTCATGCCTTCTAATGGAATTTGAAAAGACACAGAAAGTTGACTAAACGATTATTACCCACAGTGACTGACGAGGTAGGGTCCCTCTCATGTACGTCAGTCCAAGTAAAGACACTATCCCTCTTGCCATTATGATGTCCATCAATTCGTCCCATCTGTTGACCATTCACAGCAGAAGGAATNTCTGATGACAATGACAAGCCAGATGCATGCTACAAGCCCAGAAAGAAAAGTTTCAGGTTTGTTGGCATTCCAAATAAATATTAAGAAGTGCATGACACATCATAAAACCTTCATGCCTTCTAATGGGATTTGAAAAGACACAGAAAGTTGACTAAACGATTATTACCCACAGTGACTGACGAGGTAGGGTCCCTCTCATGTACGTCAGTCCAAGTAAAGACAGTATCCCTCTTGCCATTATGATGTCCATCAATTCGTCCCATCTGTTGACCATTCACAGCAGAAGGAATAAACACATTGTTTGCCAGTAAATTGCACCTAATTAGTGCCCATGCTCCTCTTCGTGAATTATTTTAGCAACCATCTAGTTGCCAGTAAATTGCACCTAATTAGTGCCCATGCTCCTCTTCGTGAATTATTTTAGCAACCATCTAGGGAGCTACTATAACATGTAGAATAGCTAAAATTTAGAAGGAAAGACAAAATAGAAGGTGGACATAAAAAGAACAATATTAAAAATTGAATGTCATGCAAGGAAACTTGTGATTATGGATTGAAGAGGTCATAAAAAGAACAATATTAAAAATTGAATGTCATGCAAGGAAACTTGTGATTATGGATTGAAGAGGTGAAGTAATTTATCTTCTTGTAAGGTAAAGTTAAGCATATCAATATAATCAAAAAAGAAATTTCCAAATTCATCCTAACGTTGGGCAAACTCAAGGCATAATAGATAGTTTCTTCAAATAAAAAGACAACTTGATTCAGGTACATAGAACCTCACTACTCTCATCAGTCCAAAAAACCACTTGCTAATTTGCTATTCTGCTTACTTTAACAGTATGCCTGTATGACACACAAAAGAACCGCACAAGAATAGACGGTAAGTGAAATTAAAAAAGTGAACCAATATGATCTTCTAATTATATTAGACAGAAAAATGATATTGTTAATGTTTCTACTTCCAAATGCAATTCCGTTGATCTAAATGAGCACAAAATAGTTTATAACGCATTTCTTCCAGTTCTTTAAACTACAGTACTACATTCTAAAGAGATGAAACATGAAAGCTCTCTTATACCACAAGTTGTGTATCATTGACATATATTTACCCTCCAGTTCTATTTTCTTTTTTTTTTTTTTTTTTTTGGCGACGAGGTACATTGCTTTCATTTAGATGAATGAGCATCGTCACTTCACTGGCCCTCATTAAAACATAATAGAAAACCAAAAAAGTACTTTCAAGTTGCAAATAAACTACAGCCAGAGATAGTTATATTACTGCAATAATAAGCAACAGATCTTAATCAACTTCGTTACCACTGAATGCAGATAACAGTGCCTACCTTACGCGGGAAAGAATTGTTAGCAACCTCTTCATCCAGAAACGGTATTTTTATCAACGAGGCAATCTAGAGTCAGACAAAAATGAATAACCAATGAATGATATATTCCATAAATGTGTATACAAAGCAGAAATGATACTCACAACATCATACGCCCTCTCTCGCTCCATGTGCTGTGCAGTTGTAACTTGTGAATTAAGCATCTGAAACCCCAGAAACAAACATTTCCGGTAAATGTTGATTGAAATCACATCGATAATGTTGTAAACGTCTTAAAACGAGTACTAAACCTGATCTTGAACACTTCTCTTGGGAACTTGATTGGTATAACGAGCAATGCAATGAGGAATATTAAAAGGAGCATCCTGCGATGCAAGCCCAATCCTAATATTTGCAGATCCTTCGCATCCAAAAAAAGTGCCATAACAATTAGATTGAAAAACACATACATACATACATATGATTAGCGCAATGAAAATTTGAGTCTACAAGCTGGAATTCGCGAGGATGAGAAGGAGAAGGAGAAGGAGAAGAAGCAGAAAACAAGTTTCTAAAAGAGAGACGAATTTGCAGTACCTGGATTTATCACTACCAAATTAGAACCTCGTTCGGAGATAAGTTGTGAAGGGACAACTGATTTTAGGTATTCCTGTTAGTGAGGAAACAAAGAAACAGTTGAGAAATGGTCGGAAGGAAGATGAAAATACAGAGCTCAGTTCCTTGCCCTTACCATGGCGATGGCGTTCGTCTATTTTGCAGTCTGCAGGACGCTGCAGCGTAGCCGAGCTGACCACACCCCAAGTTGGCGCTAATTACAAACGTACGGCGACTCTCGCTGTTAACGCCGTAACCAGTTCCAAAATTAATTCAAAATCAAATAATTAGACAGTTTTTTTTTCCTTTTATCTTTAAAATTCAATCAGAAATTCAGAATTTATAATTTGGATAAATAAGTTTTTTATTATTATTATTATGTTAAGTCATTCAATTTATTTTCCAGAAAGTAAAATAGCCGTCAAATTTGTATATGAAGCTTGTTTTTTTTATTCAAATAAATCGTTCCGAATTTGAATTTATAAATTTATAGAAACTATATTAACATAAAGTACAATTTTTAAAAAATAATTTTTCAAAATTATAAAAAAAAATCATAAATACTTTTTTTCTACTTCGCTCACACAAAAATCAGTTCGTAATTATTGAAACTTTAAAAAGTTAATTAAAATTAAAATATTTTTAGTGTATAATTTATTTGGAAGAAAATTATAACTTCCTGATATCTTCCATAAAACTAAGAAGAGATCAACTTCAAAGTAATCAACTTGAGTATAATTCAACTATCACTAAGTTTGAATCACCTCATTCTATACTATAACGTAATAGTATAACAGTAGATGGTAGAGAAGAAGATCGTAGAGGAGGCTTGTTCAACTGGTTGGTTCAAATACTAAGAAATCTGAGCTAAATAAGCACATCAAGCTAGCTCCTTTGTTAAAAAAAATTAGTCTAATTCTTTTATCCAAAGCACAAGTACAAAGACCTATTATGCCGCAGCTCAACTTAAACAATAACTCATCAGAAGACAATAATGAAGCAAAGTAAATCCGAGAAAAAGAGAACAGCCAACTACAAGAGAAGTAAATAACTGTTTGCATCAAATGGTGAAAATGTGTAAAAACCTAAGAACTGAATGCCAGACCAAATTAATCCGATCGCCGACCTGTTGCTTCTTTCACAAATCTAATACGTTTTTGTTTTCGGCGCCTTCTTTTTCGGTTGCCTCTTTGGAACTGTGTTCTTCATCCCCAAGAAGAACAGCAGAGCACCAAAAAGTGCAATGTGCTGGCAAGAAAAATAGGATTCCATAAGTTTTTTTTCTTTTTATTTCACAGGTAAACTGAGATGGATGATTTAAATGAAATCATGGGGGGAAAATTCAGAAAACATATGGACAAACCTGCAAGAAATCGCCAAGCAGGATACCGAAAAAAGGCTTCTGGAGGCTAAAGTTGAAGAAATCATAAAGAACCGGAGTGATTATAGCCAATTGCAGAAGCTGAAAGAGAAGGCAATATTTTCTTTAAAGACGTCCATAAATTTTTAGTAACACCGTAACAATCCAAGCACACAACTAGCAGATATTGTCCTCTTTGGGCTTTCCCTTTTGGACTTCCCCACAAGGTTTTTTAAAACGCATCTTCTAGGGAGAAGTTTCCAGACCCTTATAAAGGGTGTTTCATTCTCCTCCCCAACCGATGTGAGATCTCACAATCCACTCCCTTCGGGGCCCAACGTTCTCGCTGGTACTCAACCGATGTGGTATCTCCCTGACCACATTTATATTTGAGGCTAAAATTATGAACATGGTGAATCCTTACCAGGAGATAAGCTCCAACGCTGCTTCCAAAAACAAACAGAAGGCCTCCAATTCCTTTAAGAGATAAAGAAATGGCAACCAAGTGTGTGACCTGCAGAAATGATCAGAGTTTGAAAAAGAAAAGTCATTGCATACTCATATTGACAACATAAGTTACATAAGCTAAGCGCGCGAAGGTGTAGGCCAATTTCAGGCTCTTTTATGAAGTGGTGAATAAGAGAACGACAGACAAAAACTTTAGGCAAACAGATGGTTACAAATATATGGCCTTACATCAATATCAGGTATCGCTACCCCCAGCTTGGATGATAAATTTCTCCTCAAAACAGCTACCTTTGGAGACAATACCGCAGCCGCTGACCCACCATTGTTGCTAAACTCATTAAACCTAACCAATGGATGTATACAAAGTCAATACCAAAATAAGAGAGTTCTCGTTAGACGAAGCATTTTGCTAGAGATATTTACAAGTGTACTTAATAAATGCAGAGAATAACGTAGTTCTCAAGTGATAAAACTGTAACTATGGAATGCTTTCTCTAGAAAGTTATCTACGTCATCCTTGTCCCGTGGAGAGATTATGTTTAGTTAGTAAGGGAGTAGGCAGGGTGCGTCGCTCCCTTGCCCATCTTGTTAAAATTATTACCAAAAAAAATTATGAAAAGGTAGATATAAGAGGCAAACCAACATCCTACTGGTCTAAAGATTCAAGGAAAAGAACTTCTAATGTGCATGGAAAAAGTTGCATTCCCCTATAATCCCAAACAACCGTCTGCCTCTACTACATTTTAATGCAGCGATTCCTGAGTTCTTTGTTATTCATATTGGCTCTTATTGACTACTAAGCTAATCCGCCAAGGTCTTAAGTCCCCTGTTGATTAGGATCCAACAGTAACAGTTCATTTCTTCCACACTCCCATTCATTACTATAAGATTGAAAAAAGTGACTACATAATTAGCCAACGAAAAAAATTGATCCTCAAATTATGACAAGTCGAAGAAGACATAGCTAGAAATACCTAAAGTATCGAATTGGAGGATTGAAGATGTTCACTGCAATATATCCTCTATTCTTTCACTTAACATAGTTCATTCAAGTTGGATGGATAAAACCAATACCTTATCCCCTACAGAAATAATTTACCCTACAAATATAACCTTCTTCATATCAAAACCATCGCCCGAAATTGAATAAAATCACTAGCAAAAATGGCTCCTCATGAAAACGCTTTTAGACCCCATTCTCAACTAATGCCATAAAATGAATTGTTCAGACACAAAATGGTTCTTAATATCCATGACAATAAGAAATGAACCGTATATAAATCATTCTTAACCAACCCGTCTCAAACTACGAATCCGAGGTCAATTGAATGGCGCCCTAATAAATCTAGCCATTAGAAGTACTTGCCCGCAATTTATATGAATAAGAACCAGAATTCCATAACAGCAACACAATCCTAAGCATTTATAGGCAATAACAAAAACCCCAAAAACCTAATTCGGAAATTGAAGCAAGAGCAATGAAATATTGGAAACGGAAGAAACATATAGATCGAAATCTACAAATTAGAGATCCAGTCAATCGAGTGGGAATATGGGAAAACTAAACAGAAATAGAAGAAATTATACATTTGCCAAGCGGAGAGGATGAAGATGGAGGCAAAGAGGACCCGTCCAAGGAAGGAGAAGAACCCCATGTTTCTTGTTGCAGGTCCGAGGTTCAAGAACAGACTCCTGTTATGGATCGGCAACTCCTTCGCCTCCGACTATACGATCAAATTTCGAGGTCGCCTGTGCCTTAAATGGCCGCCTAGCTAGACCGACAGAATTGAAATTTCTAGTGTGAATTCTGGAATATACAACTGCGTTCAAATTCAAATTTGAAACAATTCGAATCAAATTAGATCTCTAAATCAAAAATCTTTTAAAATATTATTTCTCAATTTTGGATCGGGACTAATTTATTCTATTTTCATTTTTTTTTAATTGTGAGTTAAATTAAATGTTTATTATATTTTAGTATATATTTCATATATTACCTGAACTTTAATTTTATATATCAATTATATTTTAATTTTAAATATTTTTTAATTTTAATATTGTGTCTAGTACTAATTGATAAATAACCATGGTTGAAGATGAACGAAATGTGACAAAAAAAAAAAAAATAATGTGCTTAATAAAATAATTATTCTCGAATATCATACAATTCTTTAATAAAACTATATTTTTATAAATATATATATATATTTTTTTTATAATATGAATGAAAGTAACTCTATTGCCTATATTTTATATTGATTGTATACTTTAGTATTTATTCTATTTGGAATAATTAAAAAATGGAGAATATAGAGGAAAATTAGATTAGAAAACGACAAATAAGACTATGATAATTGGATAATATGATAAATTATTATTTTTTATTTATTTTCAACCATTTAAAAAATTATAAAAACGTGTACAAAATAGTTACAAAAGGAGGAGCTATTATTTAGCCACGCTGGAGGCGGTTGTGTGGTGACCAGTAGATGAACATGTGTTGTTGAATGATACAATTAATCATTTAGATATCATTTATAAAAATGAAAAAAAACAAACGAAAATACATCTTTCAATACGACAATAAATATTGGAGTGTTCATATATTCGAAGTAATGCGTTATGACTAATAAATATTTTATATTTAAATTTCATATAAATTTAGATATTAATATAATATTTATACGGAGTAAGATTTTTTTAAATAATTAAACTTTATAAAAAAAAAATAAAGGGTTGAACGGTAAACTTAATATATATACCCTTTTCATTATTGATTATTGATTTGAATTTGTGTATGAGAATATTATCTGGCGTGGAGCCTACCAAAACATAAATTAAACACATAACCCACATGCTTATTTTCACCGTTCTAAATTCTAAAACATTATTATTATTATTATCAGATGAATACGACAACTTGTCGTTGTTAATTCATATATTTGTTATAAGAGAATAACTTAATCTGCACGTTCTAATCGTAAAGAGAACTATGCCTCCAAAAATAGTTTTAATTATAAATAAATGAGAACAACCATATTAATTAATTTAATGTAGGGTTGAAATTCAATTACAAATATATTAAATACACGTTTCAATTTTTATGAAATTAAGTCTTAATAAAGGATCTACCTGCAAGTGGATAGATCTAGAATTTGTATTAAATTATTGTGTCTATAAATATGTGTATCAAATAAAAAATAAAAAATAAAAAATAATTTTTTTAGTGTCACAATGACGACGGAGAGAGAGTCCCTCTGTTCAAAAGGTTATCTTTATAAACACGGCGAATAATTTTTCATAAAGGAGGTGATCGGAAAAAATGGCGGTCGACGGATGCATCCTCACTCCGTTATCCAAAGTGGATGAAAACTACCACAGACCCACCGAGCTCAAAGCTTTT